ACACGTGAAAGTAGATAGGCGACAACAAAGTGGCCCAGTGCTTCAGAGCTGCTTATTCTCTCCCAAGCATCGATGGAGTCCCTGCTCCTCTCTTCACACAGCTCTGGCACCTCGTTCATGCGCCACTCTGCCTATGCCATATTCGATGCCTTTACACCCGTGCGCATGCTCAGTGCGTAAATGCATCAACGACTTTGGGCTACAGTCGTGAAATATAGCGAAGGGAACGATAAAGTTGCCAACTAATAGACAATTTGCGAAACTTAAAATGAGCGAAATTATGTGTGTCTGGTTTAGTGGTCAAGAGGATTTGCCTACCCCAAGTCCTAAAATACTACATTTGTCATTGCTCGATCTTTCAACGTTGTGTTTTAATCACGCCTAGGTTATGACGCCTTTATAAAGGCGTGCCTCACTTTTCGCTCTGTCGGTTTGCTGACTGTTGTTTTGCGTGCACCTTGGACGTTGCTTAGAAGATGGATGAAAAGGCGGAGGGCAGTGCTCGTGTGAGGTATCGTGTGAAGAGGCTCACGTATACACAACGCGAGTTTGCGGATGAATTTCACGAGACACCAAAGTCAGCCCTTACATTTGCGAAGGTCAAGTCCGCCCTTCAAAAGGTTCGCTTAAAAACGTTCGGTTTTGAGCTTTTTCCCATCTTCAAATCGCTGGCGTCCTACTACAATCTGCATTACTTCGTGCTTGACATAATTGCTGGCGTAACGATGGCATTCTTCCACCTTCCGCAAGGTAGTTCCCTTAATTCCACCCTCTAATGTTGTGTGGTAAAGGTATGGCTTACGGCGCACTTGCTGGTCTCCGCCCTGTAAATGGTTTGTACACTTCGTTTTTCCCCGTTCTGGCATACTTCTTCTTCGCCACCTCACGGCATAACTCAGTCGGTACGTTTTGGGCATTGATTGCTCAGGTGGTTTAGCTAAGCTGTTCCACGAAGTAGTCTTCTCTTCTAAGGCACCTTTTCTTTGGCCTCCCTTCTCTTCTCCGAGCCCATAAACCGTCTGACCCTTCAATACTACAATGCAACTCATTCCACCAACAGCACAGCGATGTCGGATGAGGAGTATGCTTTTCGCCTCAACTTGTCCTTGACCCTAGCCTTTTGTGTGGGAATATTGCAGGTGAGTGAGTGTGGCTTGGCTGTGCTTCTTATGGCTGATTTGCAGATTATCATGGCGTTGCTTCAAGTTGGAGCCTTGGCTGCCTACCTGTCGGGTCCGCTGATAAGCGGTTTCATGTGCGCCTCTGCGTTCCACGTTGTGGCAAGTCAGTTTAATTACCTCTTTGGGATTAAACTGCCCCGCGTGTATGGTCCGGGGAACCTGCTTCTCGTAAGGCTTTGCTTTCGCCATCTGGGGGTCGGCCTCGTCCTTTCACTACTTGAGGATTTGTGTTGTTGTAGAAGTTTTACAACTTGTGCGCGCGCATAACTCAAACCAATGTGGCCACGGTTGTCATCTGCATCATCTGTATTTGCCTGCTGCATGTCTTCAGACTGTATGTCAATCCTTTCTTTCGAAAGAAGTTCAAGTTTCCAATTCCAGTGGAGCTGATTCTCGTGAGTGGAGACTTATGCCTAATTGCAGTGTGTCACTCACTTAATGCATTTAGTTGAGAGGAAAGTAGGGTTGTTGTTTACTGCTGGCACACTGTGTCTACCCAGTTGACAAGTGGTGGTATGTTGATGGCTTTACGGCCAAGAGCCAGGTGCATTACTCGTATAGGCAACTAGGTGTTGGCTTTTCCCTTCCCCTATAATTATATGTCCTCAATGTTTCATGGTATTGTGGAATGGCGTAGGTAGTGCGAATGCAAACTGATTGCACTTTTTTGCCTTAGATGGCTAGCCGAGATGTGCTGTGCTGGTAGCTGGAATGGTAGCGATGTTTTCTTTTTTGTTTTTGTAATAGGTCGTCGTCAGCACGATTATCTCGCATTTCGTCGGCTTTTCTAGTCGTTGGGGCGTAACTGTTGTCGGTAAAATTCCCTCAGGGTATGTTGGCTGGCAAATATGAAGTGTTGTGTGATGACATGCACCTCTGTGGTCGCCGCATTCATCCATAAGTGTCGCATTAGAGAATGGGAGATGGTTGGATGCATGTCGGAAGACTTGGGTAGTGGTGGGAATTGCAGGCATTGAGAGGAGGAGGTGATGTCAGGGTATTGACGGAGTCGTACGGTCTGTAGTGTCTATGAGGTCAAATGTCAAGTAAATCGACTCCTTCGTTGCTTTTA